TTATAGATCAAATATCTTTAATAATTGAAATGGTATACTATAAAACTACTTACCTTTGTTATAAGGAATTGATAATTACTTTATAGTTTGTCTTTTCTTTTCTTTTTTTTTATTTTTTTTTTATTTTTTGAAAACAGTGCCATCATTTCATTGAGGTAATGAAGAGGAATTACAAAGGAGGAGACAAAGGAAGAAAAGAAAAGAACAAAAACACAAAACACCATTAGGAAGCAGTTGCCATCTTAACCAGCAAATCAATGTCCGAGTTGAAGCCACAATCAACGTGGAAAAATGAGATATCATGGTTACTCAGCAAAATGAGGATCTCATCTATTATAGTGCTAATCCTGCACTGCATGAGATCTGGATGTAATCACCACCTAATAACATTAGCAGCGTCTACTTCAATAATGATTGAAAAGTACTTTTTAGCTTTTAGTTTTCAAATTAGATGGCTTAATGTTTAACAAGAAGTTCAAAACGTTTTAAATTTTGAGTTTAGTAATTGACACTGTTATTATCACTTTATTCAAAATCCAACAATTAAGAATGATTGTGGCCATCTTGCATCAAATGTAAATAGTTTTTTATAATACTTTCCCTTAAAAGTTTGATGGGTCAAATGGGATCAGACAGTCGAGCCCGCTCGTTGATTCTTGGGGTATTCTTTCAAAACAAAAAAAAAATATTTTAGAAAGGAAAAAGTTTATATATAGCCGAGGCTCTAAACAATCAAATTAGAGTCTACCTCAAAAATTTCACTAGAAGAGGTTGTTTTGATGCCTAAATATCGTCAAATTGATCATCTCGACATTGAGATGTATGGACATGAGAAAAAAATAGATTTCAAGTTTTGAAAATAGTGCATCTTGTAATGCATTTTTGGATTGTCAATTTTTAAGATTTTCATAGATCCGATTGATCTACACTATTTTTGAAGCTTTAAATTTTATAATTAAAGGTGAAAATGTGCTTTAAGGCTATCACAAAGATTTTTAGTATTGAAACCACATTTCTCGATACTATTTGAAGGTCAACTCTACTTTAATTGTTTAGAGCCTCGGCTCTAAACAAACCACACCAACTCCTGAAAAAATTGTCAAAAAACTGAGGGATCTTACACGGCCAGATACCCTACTTATTTGACTAGGGTAGTTTGATAACTGCAAGATTATTTAGGAAATACTAATAAGAGCCGCAATTTCTCGCTGTATGATTTTTCACTTCACAACTGAATAAAGAACACTTTTGCTCAACCAATCAAGAATACATCAAATTCTTTTAACATTCAAAAAAAGAAAAGAAAAAAAAAAAAAAGATCTACACAAAGACCATTTATCTTTGGAAAAGTTTATATAGAGCCGAGGCTCTAAACAATCAAATTAGAGCCGACCTCAAAAATTTCACTAGAAAATGTTGTTTTGATACCCAAATATCCTCAAATTGGTCATCTCGACATCAAGATACCTGAACATGAGAAAAAAAAATGGATTTCAAGCTTTGGAAATAGTGCATCTTGTAACACATTTTTGGACCATAAATTTTTAAGATTTTTAAGTTTTCATAGATCTGCTCAATCTACACTATTTTTGAAGCTTTAAATTTTATAATTAAAGATGAAAGTATATTTTAAAGCTATCTCAATGATTTCTAGTATTAAAAATATAGTTCTCGACACTATTTGAAGGTTCGTTTTACTTTGATTGTTTAGAGCCTCGACTCTATACAAACCACATCCTTTATCTTATGTACAAGGAGGTTACAATCATTCTTGTCTTGTTAGATTGTAAAAGGGATAGTTGTAATATAAAGTTCCAAAAAATAATAATCTCGGATTTCGTGACTCACCCCAAGCCATCCAATTTAACATGTAATAGTTGTAACTTCGTTGTACAAAAGGTAAATGTTTGTATAGAGCTGAGGCTCTAAACAATCAAAGTAAAGCTCACCTTCAAATAATGTTAGAGAAATATGGTTTCAATACTGGAAGGGTGCGGTTCGCATAGAGCCTAGGCTCTAAACAATCAAATTAGAGCCCACCTTCAAATATTGTCGAGAAATGTGGTTTCAATACTGGAAATCTTTGATGAGCCTTAAAATATATTTTTATATTTAATTATAAAATTTAAAGCTTAAGAAATAGTGTAGATCGAGCAGATCTATGAAAACTTGAATAGCTTAAAAATTAACGTTCCAAAAATACATTACAAGATGCACTATTTTCAAAAGTTGAAATCTATTTTTTCTCAAGTCCATACATCTTGATGTTGAGATGATCAATTTGAGGATATTTGGGCATCAAAACAACTTCTTTTAATAAATTTTTTGAGGTAGGCTCTAATTTGATTGTTTAGAGCCTAGGCTTTATATAATTTGTTCCATGCTTGGGAGAGCCTTAAAATATATTTTTATATTTAATTATAAAATTTAAAACTTCAAAAATAATGTAGATCTAGCCGATCTATGAAAACTTAAAAATCTTGAAAGTGACGGTCCAAAATACTTTACGAGATGCATTATTTTCAAAACTTGAAATCTATATTTTTTTCTCATGTTTATGCATGTTGATGTCGAGACGATCAATTTGAGCATCAAAACTAAAAATTTTGAGGACCGTTTTTCAAATGTAAATGTTCTCTTTGTATATGATCCCAAAAACCTACATCAAATTCATTTTTGTTTTGAGTATTCAAAAGCAATATTCTTTGTATCGGGAGTGGCAAATGAACACATGGGTCCAAGACGTCAAGTTCATGTCATACCAACCAGTTGTCCGGACACTATTCCTTTTACGCGGAGAGGGAGCAATAGAGGGGAACGTGATGCTCCACTTCACACTTTACAGCGCCAACGGTGTTGCCTGCACTTCAATGTGGTTCGTGCAGCGTAAAGTAGAGCGCGTGGAGTAAGTGAGAGACCCTGTGACCTCTGAGTAGCGCTAAAAATGGCACCGCCTGGACCAGTAAGCCCGGCTCTAAAAATTTTAGGCTTGGGCCATGAAGTGTGGCTCGAGACTCGGCTATTTTTTTTCTTTCATTTTTTTTCATTTTTATGTAACCGGTCTAGCCCTCCTCTTAACAGGGTTAGGGCTAACCCTTTGGGGTACAACAGCAAGGCTAGCCCGACCCATGCCTACTCCGTTGCAACCCTTACTTGCAAGCTCTTAGCCTAACAAATAATTGTTTCGGGACCTGTTTAATGGATGGAACTTTTTAGAAGTGAAAACCGCCGAGTCAAAATTCCAGTCTCCTACGCTCCTAACAAAAAAGCATTTTTGGAATAGGCAGCTTCACTTTTTGTGGAAGCCCCTTCTTTGTTTTTCAAACACGCCAGTTAGGGGTTAATAAAAATGGCAAATTACCCATCAATTAACACCAAATCCAATTGGTAGATATTATAAAAAAGGAAAATAGAGGAGTATTTACTCTAGTAATAAGAGTACGCGAGGCCTCCATATTTTGGAAAGCAGCATCTTCAACCTAACCTTGTCATCAATATAAAAAGACATTCATGATCACTGGATATTATCCAATTTTTCAATATTACTTTCCTCATATTTAAAGCCCAAAACTTTTTTTAAATAATGTATTACTTTTGAGCTGGATCCCAAAATCTCATAACTAAAAGATTTCAAAACCTAAAAGATTTCATGCTCCCTCGGGAGTACACTATACATTTACACCCTCAAGCAAAGCACATATATACTATTTAGATTTCAAATATTGGAAATGTAATCTTTCAAACTATCTCATTAAAACAAAGTCACAAATGAACTTTTTATGTACTGCAAAAGTAAGGGAGAATATATATATATATATATATATATATATATATAACTTATTTTTAAGTTTGATTTTTCCGCATACCCAATGTTTCAAAATCCATCTTGTGTTATATAGATTCTATCCATTATATCTTATAATCAACTAAACCAATTTTACTCATTTTTACCTTATCTTTTTAGTCAAAATAAATTTTAAAAAAAACATACTTTCTAAACTCCCTCTCTCTCCATGTGTTTGTCTCTGCCCTTGAATCTCCTAAATTCCTCTATCTCAAAATTTGGGATAGAGACTAGAAGAGAGAAACCTTGGGGATTTTGGAGGAATAACTTACAAAATAAAGTCCACCAAGATATTTTTTCAAAAGTTAATACCTCAAGATAGACGATAGGTCGGCGAACTTTTGAAGTGCTAGATCTAAGTGTCACAAAAATCAAAATCCATTTTTTCTTTTAAAAATAATCATCTAGTAATCGTTATGTGGCTTCAAATGTGTACATCGTAAAAATCCAAAATAAATTTATTAAACAAGTATGCACATGTACAGTATGATCCCGCAGGAGCATATACTTGACAAATTTAACGCACTGAGCGTGCGGTCCGACCAAAGATAAAGGAAGGAGGGGAAACCCAAAGTGGAGTCGCTGTCCACAGACGGCCTCCAGTGCTCTGAAAAACCGGGGAATATCGGCTGAGCGTTTCTTTTTAATTTCAAAGGCCGAAAGCACCTCTCCTCCTTTGTTTCCTTCTCAAAAAAGACGGGTACCCAACATATTCACCGACCCACTATTTTATCCCTTTTCTATTTCCTTATGGGGTGAGGTTTGTATAAGGCGTCAACCTTATGCTATTGAAGTAAGGTACGTGTTAATACTTTGCCGATAGTGTACTTTGGTGGATAGTGTACTTTGGTGCTACAAGCGGCGCAATGATATAAAAATCTATTGTTGTTTTCGATTATAAAATTTAAAGTTTCAGAAATTATGATTTATAAACACTTGAAAATATTGAAAAATGGATGGTTCATATGATGTGTTAGAAGATTAACTAATAATATAATTATAAATTTTTTTTTATTATTATGTTTATTAATCTTAATATCAAGATGATCGATTTGATAATTTTTCAGCAAAAGAAAAACTGTCTAGATGATCGATTTGATAATTTTAGGTGCACCTTACCAGTACAGTATAAAGTTGAGATGTTATATAAACTTTTTCCTTTCTTTCTTTATTTATCCAAACTCTTTGTTACAGAGTGAGTGAGTGAGTGAGGAGAGAGTGAAGCAGAGTAACGGAGAGGGGCACCGACTCTCGAATCGGGTTTAAGGCAGGTCCATTCGTGGCCTCCTTTCTCTCTCTAATGTCCCTCTAAGATTTAGAGAGAGAGAGAGTTGTTGAGAGAGAGATGGCAGCATCTGTAGCTGGCTTAGATCGAATGGCTCGACTCACGTGCTTCTTCGTCTCTGTGTTTTGCTTTTTCTCTTCCCATGTAGCTGCAGACGACGGTACTGACTACCCTTTCTTTCGAGAAAAATCCTTGCATTTGTTTTAAAGATTAAGCTAGCATTTTTTTTTTTTGTTTCTTTTTCGTTTTTTTTTGTTCTTTCGTCGTTTTAGTTTTCAAATCTGGTAATGGATTTGGGGCTTTCGCATAAACCTTTTTTTGGTTTTTTTTTTTTTTTGTTGTTTTTTTTTGTTTTTCACTTCTTCGGGGTTTGAAATGAATCTGCATTGTTGTAGAAAACGGCTTCTCTCGTGAATGTGATTTGCTTTGTTTTTGTTCTAATTTATTTACTTTGTTGCAATTATTTGATGAAAATATCGAGTGCATTGTATTCAGATATTAGTTGCGAGTTGTGATATTTAAGTCTTATTCATTACATTTTCTGATTTGAAATAGAGTGCGAATGATATTCGTTGTGAAATGTATTTTTCATTACTATTTTCTCTGAAAGCGAGTTTGGTATAGTCTCTCTGTCTTTGTTGTCTAATGTTTTGATCATTGATTTGGTACTCTCGATTTCTGAATCATTCTTTATCGACATAAGTTTGGTTTTCTTTTCTCTCACTGAATATATTTAACTAATTTTGTGGGGAGCTGTTTTCATTTTTCCAAGAATTCACGGGCTTTACATATAGATTTCTATTTTGCTCTCTGTCTAGTAATTTTCCCAATCGACATTTGGTTTCTCCTTTCCATCTCTCAGTTCAATTTCAGTACTCTCTGCAACTTTTATATCTTTTCGCCTTAAATGCTTGCAGGCCTTATCAGTAATGGTGATTTTGAGACTCCTCCACCAAATGGATTCCCAAGTGGGGGCCTTGGAGAACCAGAGACCTCTGAAATTCCAGGTTGGCAGAGCAATGGCACCATTGAACTAGTGAGCTCAGGCCAAAAACAGGGCGGAATGATACTTATAGTTCCACAAGGTTCTCACGCCGCAAGGCTTGGTAACGATGCAGAGATAAATCAGGACATTAAGCTCGAGAAGGGCTCGACTTACTCCGTTACTTTCAGTGCAGCAAGGACTTGTGCCCAGTTAGAGTCGATCAACATTTCAGTGCCCCCTGCTACTCAGAGTGTTGATCTTCAAACACTTTACAGTGTTCAGGGATGGGATTCCTATGCTTGGGCTTTTGTGGCTCAGTCTGAAGACTCTAAGCTGGTGTTCAGGAACCCTGGCATGGAGGATGACCCCACTTGTGGACCCATCATTGATGACATTGCCATTAAGAAGCTTTTCACTCCTGATAAGCCCAAAGGTACGTCTGCTGGAACTTTATCTGTCATTTTAATTTTGGAAAATGGTTAATTAAAGTAAGTAAAACCTCACTTCATAACTCATTCAAAATTACAATTCAAGTATTGGAAGACCTTTAGATCGATCATTTTGACTTGAAAATTATGGTTGTGAAAAAAAAAAAAAAGATTTCTAGCTCTAAAAATAGTGTATATTGTAACAAATTATCTAGACCGTCCATGTCACCCTAAAACTAAGTGTTCACATATCGTAAAGCAATGGAGAATTTAGACTTGCTCTTGGTTTTTCAATTGGAACTAGGTCCCTTGAGTTTTGGTAACATAGATTGTCTTGGGGCTCTATTGGAATTTGAAACTTAGCCAGAAGAAATAGATTATCTTGTATGCTTGAATTTTATGGAAATTATGAAGCATTTTTCTAATTTCTTTTTATATCAAGCATCTGCATAGGCGGCCAAGGCGACGCCTAGGTGCCGCCTTCTGCATTCTTAAACATTGCTAGGCACATGAGCGTTGTCATGAAATAGATTTTTCCTTTTATTATGCCAGCTTAATAGGTGTTCATTGTGCCTTCGATGAACAACCCTAATGTTCTGATCGCGGAACTTTTCCCAGTAGTTTTTCCCACTAAATTAGCTGTTAAGAGTAATTAAATTTGTATGTTGATTAGAAATCCCAAACAATAGGTGTGTCGCTTTGATTTTTCCCCAAAATTATCTGGTTATCTCAGTTTTAGTGGCTATGCAACATGTGTTCTTGATGAGTGATCTTCATTGAATCATCTGACTATTTATTATTTACACTTGATAAAATGAAATTTTTGTGTGTTTTCTGTATAAATAACTGAATTTTACTGAATAAAATGAGTGTACATACATCCATATCATAAAAAAGGAAAAAGAAGAAAAATATACAGTATTGTATGATACCATTTATGGGCTTTGAATGACCTATAACTCAGAGCAACCAGATTTGGTGCTTTTTACTGCTTTGTTCATGAAATTCAGTTGTTCCATACCTACCAGAGTAGGCTTGCTATTCTTCATAAAAATTACCTGTATATTTATTCTTCAGAGTTGTCATACATGTTTTTAATCATAGTAGCTACTGTAATTTATGGGTTTATTGGTCCATCCTACCATATATAACTTCCTCTGGTGACTGGTGGCGGAATGATTTTCGTAAACCATTAATTTTTTCCAACTACTTTTTTTTTTTTGGAATGTTCACAACAACTTTCATTAAATATAAGGGAGCATGGTTCCATTGTTGCAAATGTTACAAGATGAAGAAATAGAGAGATGCAAGTCTCTTTTACAGCCAACAAAATACTTTTTTTTTTTTTACCCCCAACAAAATACTTTTTAAAACACACTATTAATCTCAATATTTTTTATTTTTGGACAAAAGTACCCTTATTTGTTTTAAAATAATTTTTCTCTAAAAACTTCAAATTTGAAATTTTAGAAAGAAAAACTATATCAAAATTTTTGGATAAAGAAACTATCTCAAATTTCAAATTCAAGAGAACGAAACTATCTCAAAAGTTTTGGAGGCAAATTATACAAATTCTCTCACTAAAACTTGAAATTATAGATAATTTCTCTCTAAAAATATTTTCAATATATTATATTTTACATTAATTTTCCATAATTTTCCTAAAGATGTCTCCACTATATTATATTTTACATTAATGTGCTCTTTTATTTTTTGTTATTTTACTGGAAATATTCACTTCGATAATTTCGTAATTGGGGGACATTTGGAACTTGACCGCCAAAGTGAAGGAGCGGAAGGGAGCTACACGCACCTTTTTTACGCCTTGCATTGTGTTAATGCTAGATTATATCTACACTTAATATCTTGAATAAAATATATTTTTAATTAGATATTTAGCTTTTTATTTGAAAATACTCGTCAGGGTGATACCCAAATTTTTAAGGAAAAAATTTATGTATGGTTGCAACCTTAAGATGTAGAATTAAGGTGCACTTCAAAAATCCATCATAGAAGGTTGTTTCGATGTTGGAAAATTATTTGATTGATCATCTTGGTATCGAGATGTATGAATATGAAAAGAAAAAGAATTTTGAATCCTAAAAATAGTATATCTTAAGACAAATTATCTTAGGTGATATGATTTCAAGATTTTCAAGTGTTTATAAATCTACTTCATTTATTCTATTTTTGGAGTTTAAGATTTTATATTTTAATATGAAAATAAATTTTCAAGCCTAAAGATTGCAACCTTATACCAACCGCACGCACTTTTTAATTCAAAAAAATGTATTCACCGTAATGGAATGCAGGAGCACTTGTAAACAATAAAAAAGAAAGACCGAAAAATGTGACGTCATATCACCTCTCCTTATCAATGCTTTCCCAGCCTGCTTTGTTAGAGGTGCACTTGTAGGAGCTCATTGTACGCTTGATCTCCTAGGTAAGAAATATATTTTTTAATCTAAAATTATCGGAGATATTAGCATAAATTCTTTTTTTTTGTTTTTGTTTTTTTTAGTTGAGTAAAACAATCCTAGGTGAATCTTATTTTCTTGGGGGTTGCAAAGCCACCATATTTGTTGTCCAATCTTTTCCCTCCATGGGACCCTCAAACTGCTTTATTCATGCTTGGCTTCCATGATTTATGTATCTTTTCTCTTTTCCTCTATGATCATTTTAGAAAATATATTATTCACACCACTTGTGTATGATTCGTGGTACACAACATGGGTCCATTTTGATGATGGTGGAGAGTAATTGCAGTTTCCCAGTGACATATGTGCCTGGGTATGCTTGATCTCCCACAGTAAAATAGAATTGATGGTGGATGCTTCGTGGTATAGATATCATATGCTACACTAACACCATTGATGTTGTATGAGTTACCTTTCGTTTTTCTCAGGTTTTCTGCCATGAAAACAATTTTCTATTTTTGCCTGGGCTGCAACGATGGTGGCAATTGGCCCAGCCAACCTTGGCCCTACCCGGTCCTTGTTCCCATAGGGTTGGCCCTGGCCTTGATTAGGCTAGGCCGGGCCAAAAACAAATGAAGGAAAAGTAACACAAAAAAAAAAAAGAGCCTCGGATAGGGGCTGCAGGTAGGCACTAGTCCTAGTCTAGCCCTTGGGCTACACAATTTGTGGTACAGGACCTACATTTTAGAGCTAGGCTGGGCCACTGGCCCATTGCCAGCCCACCTGCTATTGTTTTTGTGGTTCTTTTCCATTAGTATCTCATATTCTTTCATATAATTTTGCATGTCTTTCTATTTTATGTTCTTTCAGGGTCACTTTCATGGATTTAATGTCTTTTAATTTTCTTGCTATTATAAAAAATGAAACCATTTACTTTTAATACAAGGTTGTCACAATTACTTACAACCATTTGATGTGAAATTTGATAGCTTGGATGTGTCATAAAGTTCGAGGAAATTCTTTTTAAGTTTGAGCTTGGTCAATGGATTAATTGCAGCCACCCAATTTCACATCCAATGGATAAGATTAATGTGACCACCTTGTATCAAAAGAAAATGGTCTCATTATACTTTCTCTTATTGTAATTCATTTTGTATCATTCACTTCAAGTAAAGCTGGCAGCAGATAAATGATTGATAGCAAAAAAAAAAAAAAAAAACCAATTGCTCCGTGTATCTAGAGGTCTCACTTTAGCATGCGGGAATCTTCCGGAGTGAGGGAATTGTTTTTTGAAAAGTTAAACATAAATGTCTTATGTTCTACAAGGATGCAACCTTAAACAATCCAATCAAGGTGCACCTTAAAATTTTATCATAACATGTAATTTTGTTATAAAATTTTTTTAATATTATTTTAAAATCTATTTTCATATCTATTTAGAAAATTTTAATTCAAAAAATGGTTAAAATCAAGTAGATCTATAAATATATGAAAATCTTGAAAGTGGACAGTTTAGATAATGTGTTGCAAGATGCACTATTTTTAGGACTCAAACTTTTTGCTTTATATTCATACATCTCAATGTCAAGATGATCGATTAGAAGGTTTTTTCAACATTAAAACAACATTTTCAATAGATTTTTGAGGTGCAACTGTGATTCTACATTTTAAGGTTGCAACCTTATATAAACTTTTCCCGTGTCTTATTCCTACTTTTTTTTCTTTTTCTTCTCTACTGTAAAATATTTCCATGTTTTAAAGTTGTACAGCGACGATACCAAAACTATATTGCTTTTAACTTGACGTCGCATATTAACACTTGAGCATGTATTAACACTGTCCCTACACGCATTGTAGGAAAGACACCTCATTTTTTTTCGCGTTTGAGGTGCAGACATCCCTCACCAGAGTGTCTAGCTTTTATAAGAGTTATCCTATCCAAGGAACCTAAAGGATGACTTTATCAAGAAATGATCCTTACTCCTTAAGAGTACCTGTATTAGATTTTCTATATTTCGAACATGGAGAAATGTGTCTTGTAGGAGTTATATCCTATTCTACGGATTACAAATAGAAACACAAGGAATTTATCTCTAAGGTTCTATTTGGATGTACTCGTTATCGATGATAAATTCACTGTTTAAAAAAAAAAATGCTATTGATAATGAATTGTTTGTTGTTTGACAGTGTTCACCATAAAGTTATTTGAGTTGAACTTATAACAATTTAATATATAATTTTATCTTTCTAAAAATCTGTTTTTACTTCATTCAAAGTACTTGGCTGAAAGTTATTTGTTTTTTTGCTAGAATCAGCTACAAATAGCTGAAAATTGCCCAAAAAGTTAAATGGTTAAATAAACCAAGATACATACCAAACATCTAACAAAACAACATTATTTAAGTATATTTGTTTTAAAAAACATAGTTCATTCCGAATAAAATTAATTGTGATCTAAAAAGCCCTATAACATATTGTTTGTTGATTAAATTTTAATTAGGCGTATTCTGTATAGAATTCAAAACCCAATGTTTAGAAAAACGGATCAGGATTGAGTATAATAGATTAGATGATATTGAGATGGATGC